ACACCCCCCCCCCCCCCACACACACACACACAAAAATCAAATAGATAAATAAATAAATTCATGTCACATCAACTGAGATCTGGAGTATCAACACCTTCAGTCAGCTTGTACCATACAAAGTTATTTTCTCAAGTTTGTATTGCCATCTTTGTCATTGGAAAATCTCCGTTACTCTTTTTATGCGTAGGAAAATTACTTCACCCTTTTGTATGTCCTTTCTCTCTTTTTTGGAAATGAAGTAACACTCCACCCAGTTTCAATTCCGATATTATTACTGAAACTAGATAGCATGGTATATATCTAACAATGGCACCATCAACTAAAGAAATTATGGTTCAGTGGAAAAGGCAATGGAAAAGGCAGATTCCTGATGCTTTGAGGAATAGTAGAAGCTAGGAGAGTTGTCTTTTCAGCCAACGGCATTTGTAATTGGCAACGACATGTGAAAGAACCCAAAAGAAAGCTCCTTTAAGTTACGCTGTTTAGCACTAGAGCCAACCTCCTAAATAGCATGCCTTGAAGGTCAAATACTAATTGATCAGTATATTTCCTTTACAACTATTTCTCTACTCAGTTACCTTCTCAACTGTTTATCTGAAACATCTCGTTGTGGATACCACACATGGAAGTAGTCTCCACTTGATGGTCTACAAACTTGGTAGTAGATAGAAATGAAGCTTACATTACTTATGCATGCAAAGTAAGGTACCCATATGTTTTGGTGGTCATTACTTATGCTTTCCGATTAAACTGGTTATATCACAACTATTAAATCTGAAGTTAGGATTTGAAACCATAAGCAAAAGTCATATAAGGTAAAAATAAATATTCACAGAAGTACAAGATTGAACATCATATGTTATAGGGTTAGTTGTATATATGCCACTTAAATCATGCATCTTTGCAAAATTAAACGCCCCCCCCCCCCACCCCCCCCCCCCCCCCCCCCCCAAACCCAAAAAAAAAACAAATCTCAATATTTGCAGGACTACTCCGCAATTCATCATTATTAGAAAAAATAAATACTCTCACTTATTTTATTAAGGAATATACCAGGTATACTCCCTAATTTCCGTTAGTTTAGTGATTTTTTTAAAATAATGACTATGATACCCTTAGTGAACTAAATCTAATTATATTTCTAAATACATAAAAAATAACTTCCCTTCTTCCCTTTGATAGCGGCTGCTTATCCCATCAACCACCTCCAAGTATGTGATACAGCTGCAAGCCTCCTCAACCTCTTGGTAAGTTCAGGGAACTATCAAGAAACTTAGGCTCAATCACCAACCATAATCCTATTCCTTCCTCTCCCCGTGTTAAAAAAGCTCTCAGATGAAAGCCTCTCAAATAAAATAAGAAATCATGAAAGTGGGTTAAGAATTGGTTGTGCTTGGTTTTAGATCGCAGGGTGTCAGAGCATCGAGGCATAATGTTGCCAAGATCAAGAAAGTGGGTGATTTTAGGAGCTTGTTCTGACTTTAATAGATAACGTTATTGAAGTTGAGGGAGGATGGGGAATTGGAGATTCGAGCAGCTACTATTGATGTCGGAATTCGTCATGTGAACTTATTGTTCTGCAAGTTGAGCTCCTTCAACCTTGGGCAAAAATCTTTAATGGCAAGCTGAGGTTTTTAGAGTTGAGAGAGAGAAGGGAGGTATAAACGTTAATACACCTATCAATTATTTATCTCTGACTCTATTAGATGTTAGGAATATTTTTTTCACTCTCGAGTTGGGGGTAGTTTTGCGCAATTTTTAGATGATTGTCAAGTCAAACACACCCTAAATCTCTCTTGGTAACCAAAATATCAAGACTACGATATTATTATTCAAAACATGGCTGTCAGCATATTGTATATGATATTATACTATATACTAAGTTATTGGAGATGAGCAATGCTTAGCTACAGTTCATCTCCAATGACTTGGTATATATTCTCAGACACGAAATAAATAATAATTGACACAATGGTAAACTTCTTCCTTTCGACGTGAGGAGCTCTTGGGTTCGATTCTTGGAACTCCATATTTTTTTTCCGTAAAAATCCAAAATTTACCCCCCATTCATTTCTAAACCCACCCACTTCTCAAAAGAAAGATCTTTTACCTGTAAACCCAAAATTACTTCAACCTTTTGTATGTCCTTTCTCTCTTTTTTTGGAAATGAAGTAACACTCCACCTAATTTCAATTCCGAGATTATTACTGAAACTAAATAGCACGGTACATATCTAACAATGGCACCATCAACTAAAGAAATTATGGTTCAGTGAAAAAGGTAATGGAAGAGGCATATTCCTGATACTTTGAGGAATAGTAGAAGCTAGGAGAGTTGTCTTTTCAGCCAACACCATTTGTAATTGGCAACGACATGTGAAAGAGCCCAAAAGATCAAGCACCTTTAAGTTACGCTACTTAGCACTAGAGCCAACCTCCTAAATAGTATGTCTTGATGGTCAAATACTAATTGATCAGTATATTTCCTTTACAACTATTTCTCTACTCAGTTACCTTCTCAGCTGTTTATCTGAAACATCTCATGTGGATCTCACACATGGAAGTAGTCTCCACTTGCCGGTCTACGTACTTGGCAGGAGATTGAACTGAAGCTCGCATATAAGATCTAAATGGCATCCAGTTGGACATACATTGTAAAAGTAATCTTCACATACGAACATGAGATACTTTTAAATTTTGTTGTTATGCATGCAAAGTAAGGTACCCATATGTTTTTGTGGTCAGCACTTATGCTTTCCGATTAAACTGGCTATATCACACCTATTAAATCTGTAGTTAGGATTTGGAACCATAAGCGAAAAGTCATATAAGGTAAAAATAAATATTCACAAAAGTACAAGATTGAGCATTATATGTTCTAGGGTTATTTGTATCTATGCCACTTAAATCATGCATATTTGCAAAATTAAACACCCCCCTAAAAAAATAAATCTCAATATTTGCAAAACTACCCTTTAATTCATCATTAGTAGAAAAAAGTATTCTCACTTATTTTATTAAGGAATATACTAGGCATACTCCCTAATTTCCGTTAGTTTAGTGATTTTTTTAAATAATGACGATTATGCCCTTAGTGAACTTAACTAAACCTAATTATGTTTCTAAATACATAAAAAATAACTTCCCTTCTTCCCCTTGACAGCAGCTGCTTATCCCATCAACCATCTCCAAATCTCTGATACAGCTGCAAGCCTCCTCAACCACTTGGTAAGTTCAGGGAACTATCAAGAAACTTGGGTTCAATCACCGACAATAATCCTATTCCTTCCTCTCCCCATGACCAGAAGCCTCTCAGACAAAAGCCTTTCAAATAAAACAAGAAATCATAAAAGTGGGTTAAGAATTGGTTATGTTTGGTTTTAGATTGGAGGGGTGTTAGAGCATCGAGGCATATTGTTGCCAAGATCAAGAAAGTGGGTGATTTCAGGAGCTTGTTCTGGCTTTATTAGATAAGGTTATTGT